TGACTCCCCATAGAGTCTTGCTGCGGTCCTACGGGTTGCAATCCCACCTGCCGCCTTCCTCTCGTAACCAGGATTAGACTGAGATTAAGAAAGACAGAATAAGGGGTTTTAGACGCTCAAGATACAAGAGGGGGACAACTCAACTCTCAGGAGAGGGCCTTGTAATCTTCAGTTTCCTGAGGGCCCCGCAATGATGGCCAAACAGCAGCAGTTTGACCAAAACTGAACTCAAATCGCTGAAATCAACCGCCTGACGACCCCCTAGCTCGCGGCAGTGACCTCCTTTACAAGGTTCAACCACACCTTCAAGTTGCAATATAGCCCTACTGCAATGCCTACCTAGCCCCTTCACGTCACAATGTCTCCTTCCCAACCTGGACTGTCGCTTCCTAGCCAGAAAGATCTGCATTTAAGCACTATCCACCCACATGCTCTCATCCGGGCGTGTGGGTGCCTATCCCGCTTCGATCTATCGTTCGTGACATCGGCTCAGTCACCCCCAGCCACACCAGAAAATTCAAACTCCGGAACAAATAGAATCAACTGTTGCTTGCCGCACCAGCCGCAACAGAACAGTGGTAGAATTCCTAGCACACCAACCTGTTAGCAGGCCCGACAATAGTGGCCAAAACCGCAACAATCTCGATCCATTTGCGATCAAGTTATGAAATGACGACTGTCTGTCGCCCTCCAGGTCACGATAGTGACCCCCTTGCCGATCCTAAATCCTCCCTCAATCCGCAGTACCGTTCCTTCTGTCTGACCACCACTACGCAGTCCAGAAGGGATGTGTTTAGATGAGGCAGACCTCCTGTGCTCTACTCGAACATAAGTAAAACGCAGCAATGCTCATATGAGTCGATGAGCGTACGACACACGTGCGCAGCAACAGGTGCAATAGCTAGTTCGGCAAGAGACATGGCAATACGTTGTATGTACAATAATACCCCGTAACAAGTACGGCCAACGGTTGCGTGGTACAACTCCATACTAATCAAAACACAGCAACTCCGCAAGGTTAGTGATCCGGAATGCCTTAGCCATAGTTCCAGGCCCAGGCTGTGACTCTAAAACATAGCCCTCGCTCACTCTTCAGCAGCCACAAACAGTATCCAAACTTTATGGTTACGCATAGCCTGCTGTCATGGGGACAGGGGCCAAAGCTGTGTAGCACGACCCTATTGCCCTGACCGTCTATGCACACCCTCGAGAACGACGACCAAGCTAGTCACGATACACTTGCAGTTTGTGACGACGAGAACTCGTCCTACGAGAAGCACAGGTACTGCAACACTGAAGAAGCGCACGTAGCCCATCTCCAAACTAGTTCCCTCTGCCTGTATAAACTTTACTCTGTACCCGGCCCAGATTGCGGTCAGATACGTATAACTTCAGAAGCACGCCGTTAGAAATGGTGTCGATGTACAAATCCCGACAGCAGCGAGAGCACCGAGGTAAGCGAGTTCATCGACTTCAGCTCTCCAAGCGTACAAAGCAAGAGTCAATCTCTCGTTGAAACATGGCCGAATGCCTGCGTCTTCTGTCAAATCGGAGGTACACCGCAGCAGCGCCTCCAACAACTATCCTCACATTGCATCCAGCATCAGACAACTGGCTAGCACCACTATGGTGACAATCGGTTCAAGCGCGATGGGCAGTAGTCTACATCTAATACGGCCGCCACGTCCTGGTAAGTTCCGCCCTCCTTTACGGTTGTCGCCTCTTAGTCGCATCTTACTTCCTTCCTGTCATTCTCATGATTCGCTCTCTCTCTCTCTCCCTGCGATAGGAGGAACACAGGTAAGTTCACCTTTTAGTTGCCTGGTCCCGACGACTGTTCTCCTGTTGTGCATGCTTGTCCAAAAGGACAAGCGTACCTGGCCAGCATCACGACCAGGTTCAACCGCACACCACCCAAACCACCGGGCGCAAACTTACTTGTTGCACTTAATAGCGAAAGGCAGCCCCTCTCTTCCTACCATGCATAGCTGTGGCCCGCAGTTTGCTGCTCTGCCTAGAAGCATTCGACCGGAGAGTGAATCTTCCTCTAGAACGTGGGAGAATACATTCCCATACTAGTAAGAAAACTTGTCACTACTCCAAGCCCGCTCGTTGCCCGTGTGCCCGGGCGCAACCCCCATATCTCACACCGGCTGATCTGTGACCCAAAAGCAAAATCCAACTCTATAGCTCAATTCACAGTGCGTTAGAACCCCCTCATATCATTCCTATTTCCAAAAATGGTCGAGAAACGGCTGCATACATCAGCTTCTATCCCCCCTTCTTCCTCCCTCTCACTTTCTCTGCGCACCACTTTATCTATCTCACTTTTCCTACACTAACTTTCACACTAATCTAGCTTCGGATTTGTCATCGCAACCCGTCAAAACCCCGATTTCGACTCCTCCCTCGCTCGATTCCGTCCGGAAACGAGTGAGGAAAGCTCTTTCCCCCCCCTTCGTTTTCTCTTCCACCATAGTTTCGCGCGATCCTTTTTTCACTAATCTCCTATTCTACTAACCCTCTTCCACAACTGACTTTCCCATGCAGCTCGCCCGGGGCCAAAACCCCGGGATCGCCCCTTCCCCAGGCCAAAACCGTCCGCAAACGAGCGAGCTTCGTGTCTTCCACCCCGTCCCACTTGTTTCCACCATCTCTGTCGCCGTCCGTACCTGGCCCAAAACCCCGGTTAAGTTCATCCGCCTTTCTTTGCTTCCCTGCTTCTCAGCCTTAGGACCGGCCTCCCCACTACCTGTCGGGCCTCCTCTCTCGGCCTGCGCTGCCCGGTATTCCCCACTTCCTCATCCTGCCTGGCTCGATGTTCAGATTCAGGCCATCTTTTCACAAACCTTCGTGCTTGTCATCTTGCTCATGCCCGTCGAGCTCGCTTCTTTCTCCCTCAATCAGACAGCCCCTTAGCGCAGCAGTATTCCCGACAGCGCCAGCTACCATAAAGGGAAACTACGGAGGGAACCAACTCTCTCTGGTTCGATTGGCCTTTCGGCTCTATACCCAAGTCCTACGATTGTTCTGCAGCGGTGTCCACTGCGACTCTCTGCAGGGAATTTCTCTTGGCCCGCTCTACTCAGCGCATACTTACACTGTGGCCTCAGATCCGCCAGGTATGTGGATCTGGGACACACAGACTTGAGGTTCTTGGGCACGGTTCTGGTTACACTGCTGTATCTTTTCATATGATACAGGACCCTGGCCGTCTGCAATCGTGGCGACTCGGTACCACGCTGGTCGCATGGCGCCATCCAGAAATGGTACAAGAACTGGTGACCGCGAATTCCCCACACAGGCTGTTTGACAAAAGGGCTTACAAACAACACACTTGGGATTTCGGCACACCGTGCGACTGGTCCCGTACCTCCCGGGCCCCGATGGCATGCTCACGCTCAAACCTCTTACAGCCTAAACGTGGTTGGCGGATGGGGCCCCCGTGGAGGGTCCCCGCCACTCATATATTTTTTTTTTTTGCTCGTGGGCTAAATCACCCATTAGCCCGTACGCACACTGAACTCCTCGGTCTGTGTTTTCATGACCGACGGAATAGGGAAATTTCGCTAGCACCCCGAATACATCAGGACCTGAGTGGTTTGAAAAAGAGGTGCGTGTTCAATGTCTTCGACTGTCGTAACGGCTGTCGGTCCCGCAATTTGACCCCGACACCGATCACCGAGTCCCGGACATCAATAAAAATAAAAGCAGGCAAAATAAAAAAATAAAAATAATAATAATAATAATAATAATAATAATAAGACTAAAGGTGAACGTGAGCATACAAAAAAGTACGGGGGCAAGGTGTCGCACGTCCTTCTGCCCTGCGTCCTGTGTATACGCCCGTACGTATACGGGCTGTACGTACTCCCGTACGACCATACGTACGGGACCCCGGGTGCCCGTGCGGGCCGTACGTACGTTCAGCGTCTTCCAGGGGGGGTCGACTGCGGTTTTCGGGTGGGTGGCTGTCGGGTGTCGTGGGG